ACATGGAATCCTGTGTGTGTGCAAATACCATATTCTCATTCCAGAAATTGTCTTTGGGATTTATAGTAAAGGTTTATCCACAGGTCTAAAACAGGATTTTTATGTTAAGAAATAAGTCATACAAGGAAATACTATATTGAAGATGTAAGATATCGAGGGTTCTATTGTATCCTGGGTACCAATAACATGCTATAGTGATATAAGTTTCAGTCACCAGTTATAAGTGAGTAACTGGATTAAAACAGATGTGTATAGAAGCATATAATTCAACACATTTAACTACAAGGTCATAAATAAAGAAGAAATTAATGGAAAGTATTTCAGATGTCTTTTGTGCCAAGGACTGTGCCTGACAGAAAAGTGGACAAGAGTTTGCTGGGCCATTTGACCAACATCAAAGTCAATGGACTTCCCTGTACATGACTTTGGAACTGGAAATAGGGCAGGGAGTAGGAGTGGGACTGCTTCCTGGAATTCAAGATGGAAAATACACCTCAGTCCTTGGTTATTCAATTCACTGTAGAGACGATTTCAGGAGAAGGCAAGCGACACAAAGGTAAAGAAATCTTGTGAGCCATGTGGCTTCTCATGAAAGTTAGAAGTATCCCACGTTCCTGTGGATCTTGGACTGATTCTAGTCTTACACAGAATGTGAATGACTCCATCACCCACCAATATTCTTCTACCAGTGTAATTAAGAAAGCGGGTGGATAAAAAAAAGGTAGTATACAGGGAAGATAAAGCAAAAAGAAACAAATTCTGTCAGAAAAAAGTTGTGAAAGCCTACCATGGCCTGGTATTCCTTTGTTGCAATAGTGACACGTCTTCATGACTCACAAAATTTCTGTGGACAAGAACTGTTTATTAAATAAACCAGAAATAGTGCTGGCCAGAAGACCAATGTGAATGACAGGAGAGTGAGGATGTAGATACTTATTTACCAAATGTCCAGAGTGTCTACCACATTGCACTTAGGGCTGTCACATACAGATGTGTCTATATGCATGGAGCACCCTAGAGCTGTGCAGTGCACATCGTGTACAACTGTATATGACTGTCTGAGCTGTATTTAAAAAACTGGAGAAAATAGAAACAGAAATAAATACCACATCTAGGCCATAATCTGATTATATTAATGAACCATGCATAGGTACTGGGTTAACCTTATTTCTAGAGGAAAACGTGTTCTTCTTAGACTGAGAAACTTAACAGCTAAACAGTATACACAGTAGATTTGAAATCTTAAGTTGAGATTTTCAAACAGATTTGTCTCAATTCACATGTTCCAGGCACTGCTGACTCCAAACAGCTATCCTTGCAAGCACAAGTGGCAAGACTAATGAAATTAGGAGGCCTTACACCCAAATGGCAGTAAGCACAATTGTCCAGAGTACTAGTAGCTATTTCATGATTGCTACAGGAAAAAAACAATTCTTCACAGACACCTAGAACTATCATAGAGGCAATGCTACTCTTAAGCTGGAGAAGTGGGCAATGTTCAAAGCTAGAAAGTGAAAATTGGACTAGGGGTGGCTGGAGGACAACCTAGGGGCAAAATGGGCATCACCATCCATTCTGGAAAAGAGGTGGTTAGAAGAGGAGAGGGTGAGGAGAAAGAAATACACATGGACCAAGTACTGAGGAAGAACATGGAAATTCCTTATAATAAATAAAACATTTTATTTCAAAAAGTAAAAACAAAAAAAACTCAAATACCACCATCCTAAACCATTACCATCATGAATATGTTTTCACACTACATTTTAATTTTAACAAGAAGAACTTTAATGTTTAGAAACATTGTTTCCTCTTAGATTTTCTTTTCTTAAAAGTTGGGGAAAAAGAAAACTATGACCAATATTATACATCTCACTATCGCTTACCACTCTGTCACATCTATGCCAAAATTTCTGTTTAACTATAGGCAATCCTTTCCTTCATATCAGAAATAATTTAATTGGGCGAGGGGTTGGGTGGATATAAGTTCAGTATATGTAGCTTCACTTTTTAAAGGAAATTCTGATATATTCTGAAAAAAAATGCCAATCGTATTAGTAAGTATAGAATGAAAAAAATTGCTAATCATATTAGTAAGTATATAATGCTGCATCCTCCACGCGTAACGACTTGTTTTCTGTCACATGCAAATTCAGCTGCTTTCCTTCGTTGCTCCATTCAACAAATTTATATATTAACAGTACATTCAAAGCATTTAAAACTTCGCAGTGCCGGCCGGGCGCGATGGCTCACGCCTATAATCCTAGCACTTTGGGAGGCCAAGGCAGGCAGATCATGAGGTCAGGAAATCGAGACCATCCTGGCTAACACAGTGAAACCCCGTCTCTACTAAAAATACAAAAAATTAGCCGGGCGTGGTGGCACGCACCTGTAATCCCAGCTACTCGAGAGGCTGAGGCAGGAGAATCGCTTGAACCCGGGAGGCGGAGGTTGCAGTGAGCCAAGATTGCATCACTGCACTCCAGCCTGGGGGACAGAGTGAGACTCCGTCTTAAATAAATAAATAAATAAATAAATAAAACTTCACAGTGCCCAGGAGACCTGAGACATTCTTGGTGCTTGCACTCTTTAAAAGAGCTGAGAAACCTAAAGAATATGACTTACGTCCAACAATTCAGAGTCTCCTTTGCTATACCATCAGCTAAAGTAATGTTTTACAAGGGAAATGGAAATATTTTAAAACTCGAGGAGCCCAGCACATCTAAAGGATTTCCGTTTTATGAACTTACGACAAAGCTGGACAGTCTGAAAAGTCTTACTTGCTCCAAACAAGTCAGACAGTTTTCTCCTGTTACCTATGCTTACATTCACACTCCCATTGACCCACAGTCTGGCCTTGAGATCCAATATCAAGGCTGGTGGCAGTACAATGGAGCTGAACACTGTGAGTTCTCCCGTGTACATTTGGAATTTGAAAAGTTAGAAAAGTGCTGGCTACCAAACAAGGTGACTTCCTACTCACCTCCAGCTCAGTGTTCAACATTTTTTAATCTTAACCCCCACCTTCGCCAGGCCACCAACACCAGCCAGGAGCCTTTTAAGACATTTTTCCCCTACGACATTTGAATGCATACCGTATTTTAAAATACATACCATATGTACTCTATGTACGTCTGTGTGTGATGTATCAAAAGAGTAAAACTTTTTCAGCCCTCCACGAACCAATTTCCCCTGCTGGGGGCGATATCACCCCTGTTGAAAATGCATGTCCTAAACAACAGCTACAAAAACTCAAACTCACATTTAATTGTCTTTTCAAGGCCAGAAGTTCCTAAATCAGTAATGATTTAGCACCACTTCAGTCAAAACAATTACATCCGAATCATTTTCAAAATAGAAGCTTAAAATATATACAATCTAGGAAATGCATAAAATTGGGCTAAATATTGTTCCAGCAGTCAGTAACGTTCTGGTTAATTTTTTGCATTACTCTCCATTCGTTAAGCTCTATTTGATGCTTGCTCATAGAACCAAAGATTTGATTAGTGTTGAATTTTAAACCCTTCACGAAGCAAAAAAACCAAACACTCTCTGAGAACACATTTTTCTGAATGGCGGCAATTGGTAATTTGCAAAAGCAGATAGAAAATGTCCATAGAAAGCACTGCAATTTTCAATTTACCAAACAAATAGACTAACCTCTGCTGCTCACAAAGACCTGAAACTAAATGGCCCACAAAGTTATCAGTCATAAAAACAAATCAATGTTTCATTAAAAAACCACTGTGCCATCTGCACATGCAACCAAGGAGAAACTTCTCCATCCGAAAAGATTCCGGACTGCTCATGTTCTACCATAACTTCAAAAAACAACCAACCCCACCCCAGCATTTTCAAATACTCATGGCCAGAAGTTTAATAAGACTAAGGAACAGAACAGTCACTAACAAATGCAGGATATATCCTGTCCAGTCCACTACTAGGATGATTCTGCATTTTTATATTGTTTCAAACATAGTGAGGGCAAAGAAAGTCCTCCGTATGAGCCAATAAAAAGAACTTCATCATATTAAAAATTGAGCTCACCTACCTTCACTGGTCCATGTTCGTTACTGGAGCCCTGCACCAGCTGGACGTACAACATCATGAAAATATTCACCACTACCCACTCTCTGTACATTTTGAATATTTCAATATCCACTGACTACTAAGCAGTTGACATCAGGCAGCTAGAGAAAATTGTTTCAAAAGGCATTCTCCAGAAGGAAAGTTTGAAACCTCAAAACTTCACATAGAAAACCAAATAATCAGTTCTGATCAAAATCCAACGAAATTATTTCAATTAGGCAAGGTACGCTTTTTTCGTACAATCTTAGGGGTGGGGAGAGAGAGATGAAAAAAATTAAAATGTTCTCATGCTCCAAAAATAATCAGAAGGTGGACATGTCTTCTACCTGAAATCAGAAAGCACTGTAAATTTATTTCATGTCCAGCAAATTAAAAAAATCTCTCCACCGTATGCCGCAGGTTCCAGTTGCTTTGTAAGGAGGTGGTGTGGCCACCAATGCTTACAGCTACAGAAAACTGGAACCCAACTCTGGATTGAAACTTTTTTGCACAACCTTCATGGAAGCTTGCAGAAGCATGTGTCTTAAATCTGACACAGATTTTGGCAGAAAATGCAGAGAAGTCTTGGCTGTAATCCTGTTGCGTCCCTACCAATAGCAGGGCAGTTTTAAGAACTGACTCAAATGTTCAGGGCTGCCGTTATTGTAAAGCAGATAACCTGTAATATGAAACCCCAGCACAAAGCTTTGACCTTTGTATCTCAGTAGGATTGCTTAAGAAGGGACCTCAGATGCTCATCCATCTGCTGCCAATGACACACAGAAAGCAATCAAATATGATTTGGAAAACCTGCACATGCACAAAAATAATAAAAACATCCATCCATACATGCAAAAAAAAAAAGGCAAACATACACAAAATGACTTTTTAAACAGAAGCTTAGTAACTTAGGTATTTCAAATGAAAAACACTGATTTTTAAAGAAACAATGATTAGGTTTATTTGCATGTGCCAGGAAATATACTACATTTCTTGTTACAAAAACCATGTTATCACTTTAGTGTGGAATTCTTTAGAAGCACCGGCTAAATAAGCTTTAGAAATGGAATGCCTTCAACGGCTCAGTCTCATAAATGGCAAAATTCTAGGACACATCGAGACCTGCTCTTCTGCTTTCCACTAGTTCCCAATCTTTGATTTCCAGGTTTTGGCCCTTTCAAACCCATTTTTCGCGTTTCTGAAATCAAGAATGGCTTGAGAAATCTCTTCATTGGTGTTCATCACAAATGGACCTAGGGCAGAAAGAGACATTCAGAAAGTTCTGGGTGGCACTATTTTCCTCTACCACTAGAAATGGTATGTATTTCTGTGGTTCTTAATTTAAAACAAAATCCAAGCACATCTGAAGAGTAAAAGTTTATTTCACAGTGTTCAGTCCCCAAGGACTATAAAATGAGTTTCTTGACTAGGTTTGTGTATGATTATTGATTATAAAGACAAAACTTCAGATAAATGCAATGGCATCTCACCCATTCAGTAGAGGTTTCTCACCAGCAATGGTGATCTGTTTTATTAAAAAGAGTCTTGGATTTGGTTCTATCACAACCATTTTTGTAGTTATTTTTATAACATTAGCTGATGTCAAGAATTGAACCCATGTGATACAAAGAACTGACAAATCTTATCATAGCTTTGGTGTCTAAGCAGCATATAAGGCTGTATACTTATTTGAGGATTCTAAGTCATTTTTTGAAAATTGGCAGCACCTATTGACAATAAACAGAAGATTATAAAAATTTCTAGTCAAAAAGCATCATCTTTAAAAAGTTTTCTAGGGTTGGCAAATGTTTGCTAGGAAGGGCTAGATAGTACGTATTTTAGATTTTGTGGGTCAAACAGTGTCTGTCTCAACTACTCAACTCTTTCATCAAAGTGCAAAAGCAGCCAGAGGTAATGCAAAAGTGAATAGGTATGGCTGTGTCCCAATAAAACTTCATTTACAAAAACATGCAGTGGGCAGATGTAGCCCATGGACCATAGTTTGCTGACCCTTTTGTCTAATTGCTGGGTCTGAACTCAGATTTCGCTAAAAATGTACAAGAAGTCCTCCCCTAACCTACCAGGAGGCAATGTGTGTTTCTTCCCTTTTCTTCATATATTGTATGGGTAGAGAGGCACTGGACTGTCTCACTCCCATGATCTGCTAGATGAACAAGGCCAGCTTTTCTATGGCATTGACAGTGTCTTTAGAGCCGTTGACAGACTTGTTCACTCAGTACATGTCCTCGTCCAGTCTGCAGAAGTTCCTGACATTCCTTTTATGGAACTGCCTGCTCTAAGGGGCTTTCTCTGGGAGATTCGGATTAATACATAACTGTATTGCTTAGAGAAAATAACACATTCAAACTTCTTAACCACTGTTATATCAACATGGATTTGGTGATCACTATAATTTAAATCTTGAGAAGGAAGACACAGGATAATATGTCTTGATGATGCTGAAATCTTTGGAGAGGATGTGGGGAATAGAATACAAGTAGGAAGAAAAAACCCAGGCATCTAAATTCATTCATTCATTACCTATCTATTAAGTATTTATTGAATGCCCATTAAATGACAGACATTGTGCTAGAAGCTAGAGACATAAAGATGAAAGACAAATAAATGACAGACTCCCTCTCCTCAAGGACTCAAATCTATCACACAGATATGAAAAGAAATCATTACAAAACTGTGTGAAATATGGAAGGATAAAAGTGTAAAAACTATAAAATCAGCACAGAAAGGGGGAGGAGGAGAAATCCAGGAAAGGATTCGCAGAGGGAATGAGGTTTGAGCAGTCACACAAGGAGGAAAGGTATGTTCAAGATTAGTGTGCTGGAGGAATACTGGAGGGGATAGGGGTACAGTGGTGGAGGGAGGGATCAAAGGGGGAAAAATGGCGATCTGAAATATAGGAAGAAACCGGACCCTTCTGGGCTTTGGATGCAATCTACAGGAAGAAGTTTGGACCTACTTTTGCAGGTGATTATGAATCACTGTAAGGTTAAGTAGGGAGTAATATAATGATTTATAATTTTTAAGGAAAACTTTGGCATCAGGTGTCTAACTTGGGAGGCTGAGTCAATGGTGGAATTGTTAAGGGTATTTGAGATACAGGACACAGGAGGCTTTGGATGGAGCAAGGTGTTTGGTTCTGGATATTTTTTGTTTTTCTTTTCTTTTTTCTTTCTTTCTTTTTTTTTATTGAGACTGAGTCTTGCTCTGTCGCCCAGGCTGGAGTGCAGGGGTGCGATCTTGGTTCACTGCAACCTCCACCTCCCAGATTCAAGTAATTCTCATGCCTCAGCCTCCTTGGTAGCTGGGATTACAGGCATGCACTACCACACCCAGCTAAATTTTAGTATTTTTAGTAGAGGTGGGGTTTCACCATGTTGGCCAGGCTGGTCTCAAACTCCTGACCTCAAGTGATCCACCAGCCTCGACCTTCCAAAGTGCCGGGATTACAGGTGTGAACCACTGCGCCCGGCCCGGTTCTGGATATTTTAACATAGAGGTACTAGAGACAATAAAGTGGTTTCTCAAGCAGAGGTTTTTGGTACATTGTTGAAACTATGGATCTGGAGCTCGTGAGAGAAATTTCATCTGGAAATGGAGGTTTGGACTATATTAGGTAGGAAAGAATAAGAGAGTTATCATATGCAGAATAAACAATAAACCCAAGAGGGTAGCCTGGGAAAGACAACTTTTTAAAGGACACGCAGGGGAAAGGGAAATGCAACTTGGAAGATGGGAGCAGGTACTGAGTCAAGGACCCAATTCTTGTGCCTCATAATTTTGCTATGGTTGGGACTTGTGGAGCAGTACTCCCATCCCCAACTAGTTTCTGTAAGAATGGTGTGCTTCTAGGCTTCCACTTTGACACTTTCCGGGGTAGCCTGCCATGTTTCTCAATTTATAATGCGCACATGAATCAGGTGGGAATCTTATTAAAATGCAGATTCTGATTCAGGAGGTCTGGAGTGAGGCCTGACATTCTGCATTTCTAACTATCTCCCAAGTGATGCCGATACTGCTGGTCCATGGACCACGCTTTAGGGAAACAAGGCTCTGTTATACAGGGAAGCATTGGAAGCTTGGAGTCCCCTAAAGCTAACTGATGAAGCTTATCTCCTCAAATCTTCAAGGAGAAAACTGAATCCAGAAAGCATGTTTTTAAATTGATCAACTACAAGGGTTGTGAACAAGAAAATTATTTGATAGTTATCTATAATTCTCTTTCAAATTACAGCTTTCATCACTTCTCTAATTAAGCCTCTGAAGCCCCTCTCTTGTATAAAATCGTGCGTCTAACCTCTTGTTATGTAGAACTTTGGTATAGTGGAGAGAACATAAGACCTGGGGTCAGGAGACTAGGGTTCGAGTCCCAGCTCCACTGCTAACAATCACTTTCCATTAGAGAAGCTACAGGGCAGAGCAACAGATGACCAGCATGGTAAGAGGCAGAAGGGCAGGGTGTTTGGAACACAGACAGCCTGAGTGTGAATCCAGCTGTGTGACCTTGAGTAAGCCAATGAACCTTTGACCTTCTGCTTCTTCATCTGTAAAATGGGCATGAGAGTACCAACCTCACAGCGTTGTTTTGAAGGTTAAACGGATTAACATTAGCAAAGTGCTTTAACCAATGTCTAGGAAATAGTAAATTCTATGTAAGTATCTGTTAAGTAAATAAATAAAATATCTGGATTTTATTTTCCTCATCTATAAAAGAGGCATGACTACATCATGGCTAAGCGTATTTTCTATCCTAACATTCTATGACTTCCTGTGCTTAATCTGTGGACGAATAATTAAGAACACACGATGATAAGAGGAGAAAGGGTCTTAGCTAACTCATGAGATTTGTACAAGTTCCCAGTCAAAAGATGGTTGTGGCTGCCTTTAAACACACATAAGTAAAAGAAAAACTTAAATGTCTGAGTTTTTAAAAGTTAAAAAACAAAAACAAAACGCTTTGCTTCTCAGTAACTGAGCTTTCAAGGGACATATTTATTTTGTATGATTACTCTGAGTTTGTATGTGCAGGGATACCTAGTGTCCCTGTATTCCAAGCCACTGGGAGAGGATCCTCATGACCCCAGTGTAGGATGGCTTTGAGCAGTCCCACTCCTTTGATCTGTCACCTAATTCAGTTAGACTCTTGTTTTTCATTATTGGTACTGAGGAGATTGCCTAAAATAAGACTTCCATCTCACACATCTTTTTCCCACCTAAATGTTAGTTACTAGGAATAAAGATTATGACCCTACTCAGTTTGTCTGAAGGCTTTTTCCAGAAAAACAAACTATAATATTGCAGTGCTGTTCAGCTGAGAGAAAAGGAAATAAGAACCACAAACCTTTGGAATGGAAATCAGATGCATACAAAATGGTTGTCAAATGCTACAGGCCGAGGCAGGGTACAATTTAATGTTCCCCCTGAAGTAGTTAGTAGAACAAAAAAGAATATTTTTAAAGCAATCTGTGTTCTTTAAATTTATGAGCAGCTGGTGGTTATCTGCAATCATTGTGTGTATCTGGGAATTCATGCAAGGCAGGGAAATGCAACGGGATTTTAATGTATGTTGAATTTAATAATTGGTGAAGTGAATATATGTTTTGTAAGCATTTATCTAAATAATAAAATGTGTTTTAATTGCTTTTAGATGTTCCTTCATTTAATCAAACAGCAATGATATTAAGAAGTCAACACCCAAAGAGTTGAAGTAATTGTTATGGGTACTTAAGTCAGGATTTTCTGCCTCTTAGTACAGTACTATTTCTGCTACTCATGTTCTTAAATAAACAAAAAATAACTATTTTCTTAAAAATACTATTCCTAAGAGTTTCATATTTTTTTTTACTAAAAATGCAATAGACTACAGGACAGTATTGAAATCACCTTTATTTTTGATAAAGATAAAAAGGATGTTAAAGTTCCCAATAGACTGTAGAATCTTTTTTCAAATTAAAATTCCCTATAACATAATACAAAAATACGATTTTTGTTCTTCCTACAGTTCCAAACTCAATATCCTACACATAACAGGTATTTAAGCCGGGCGCGGTGGCTCAAGCCTGTAATCCCAGCACTTTGGGAGGCTGAGACGGGCGGATCACGAGGTCAGGAGATCGAGACCATCCTGGCTAACACGGTGAAACCCCGTTTCTACTAAAAATACAAGAAAATTAGCCGGGCGAGGTGGCGGGCGCCTATAGTCCCAGCTACTCGGGAGGCTGAGGCAGGAGACGGCGTCAACCTGGGGGGCGGAACTTGCAGTGAGCCAAGATCGCGCTACTGCACTCCAGCCTGGGGCACAGAGCAAGACTCCGTCTCAAAAAAAAAAAAAAAAACAAAAACAAAAACAAAAAAAAAACCAGGTATTTAAGAAATGTTTCTTTTTAAAAAAACAGATGAATAAACATCATGTATATATTTCCCTCTGATGACAGAAAAATTAAACAATCCTCAGATTTGTAGATGGAGAGACAGGACAAAAAAAAATCCAGCTATTCTTCCCAACAATACTATACATGTACACTGTTTTCAAAGAAAAAGAAAATCAACCAAGAAAATCATCGTCATTTTGGTCTTACCGTGTTGGACAACTGGTTCTCTTAACGGCTCCCCAGCAATTAAGACAAAGTGGCTTCTCTTGGGATCCTAAAGTTAACAAAGAAAACATCAAACAATAAACAGGCATTTTCGAAGGTCAAATTGTGAATAATTTGAAATTGACATGCTAGCCAAATGGGCGATGTTCCTAATTCTGAATATAATTTTCAAAAATATTTTCTGTGCAACACTCAATATGGAAATGTTTATTTCTTAAGTTGTTTACTAGCAAGTAGAACTCAAGAATAAGTCCAGGCCACCAAAATATTAACATTCTCAAATTTAAGAAGGAGAATTTAAATTAAGATTTCTTTAACTGGAAATATCTTCATGACAAACTATGTGATTAAACTGGCTTATCATGGGATTTATGATTTCTCAGTAGCCATATAATTTTTAAAAGGGAAGATTCATTATGCAAATCCAAAATAAGATGTTATTACTTTTGAAAATTATTACTATTAATGTAAAATATACCCCAGAAATATTGCACTAAATGGAACCTTATAAAAACAGAGCATCCAAGGGATATCTGCTCAAGCAAATTTCCCTCCAAAAGGGTCCTATTACGTTAAAGTCTCTAAAAGTTTTTGCTTAGAATTAAGGATTCGATTTTTTTTCTGAAACTGGAAAAAGTATTAACCACAATATCCAGTGCTAGTATGGATACAGGGAAAAATACACCTTCATATATCGTTTGGGAGATTTTCAATTGGTGCAGTAATCCTTCCAGAGAGCAATTTGACAATATGACTCAAAACCCCCAATATTGTTAATGTCCTCCAATCCAGTAATGACAGTTTTAGCAATATAGTGTAAGGGAATTTCACTATTGTAGCACTATTTATCACAGCAGAAATTGAAAACATTTCTCCAAAAACGAGGGGTTGGTTAAATAATTATATGTTTATAAGAAAAACTATCATGTGGCCATTAAAATTCATTTTCTCATTCATTTCTCAACAAATATTTAAGTGTGTAATGTATTGTTCATAATGTTCATAATGTATTGTAAGTTTTGTAAATATCACAAAATGGCATGTATATACCATGGTTTAAAAATACCAAAACGTTAGCATTTATTATTTCTGAATAATGGGAATTAAAGCAAATTTTATTTTCTTCTTTATGCTTTTTGTATTTTTTTAAATTGCTACAAAAATTTGCTAATTTTAAAAGTTAAAAAGAAACATAAAATAAATATTTTCTAAAGTTCGTGTTTGGGGAATTGTTTTATAATCAAATGCATTTCCGGTTTAACAATCATTAGAGCATTTCATTATATAAAACTAAGTATATTAAGTAATTCACAGGTTATAATTATAAGAGTCCTATCTTTATCAAAATCATACATATATCACATATATATATATACACACATACACTTTTCAGTAATTTTATTTATTAGAAATGGGTGTTTGATTTGAAATTAAGGAGAACTGTAGTTCTGTCAGAAGTGAATTATATATATACTTAGATATATGTGGTGTTCTGTGCCCTGGAAACTTAATTGAGACAACGTGGCGGTTAGTTATAACAGGTAGAGTCAGAGGTGCTGCTAGACCTTAGCTTGTCCTCATCGTCCTGCATGCCATGTCCAGCTCTTCTTCCTGACTGCTAATTCTGCTAAGAGCGGCTGCAGCCCCATCCCTAGACACTAGGCTGCAGAACTACAGACTTCTCCACTAGACTTCTTTTGTGGCCTCATTTTAGCGCCTGGATATGCTTGGCATTCCAGATTAACAGGTTGGTGACTTTTCCCATTCCCCAGCTTCTGCTTTTCTATCTTTATTTCCATAGCTCCTCCCATATGCAAATGCTCCCTCTCTGGGAAGCTGTCTTGTGACTGCCCTATCGCGAGGAATCCCAAGCTAGCCAAATGGAGGGGCCGCCTAGAGCAGAACTGAGGCACCTCTAAACAACAGCCTCAGCAGAGCCCAGCTCCCAGCCTGCCAGCCACATGAGTGACTCCAGAGAAACTGGCAGAACTCCCCACCACATGGAGAGATAATAAATGATTGTTATTTTAAGCCACTAAATTTTAGCGTAGTTACTCACTAATAGATAAATGAACATTATATATTTCTTTTCAGCCTTCTTTTAGGTTTACCTTATTCAGAATAAAACAATAAACAAAGCCAAAATGACTATGCACTTTAAAATGAAGCCTTCAAAATTTTTGAAACTTCACCCCAATTCTAATAATATAGCATATTTCTAAATATGTAAGTCAATATTATACTATATCATACTTCTACTAATGCAAAGCTCTTTAATTAGAAATTATTATGATGTTACTAGTTCCAGAAGATTTATTACTGAATTCAATAAAAATTAATAATTAATTCCTTAATCTTCCATGTATTTAATAAAAACTACCGTATTTCACATGTCTGAAATTTGTTTCCCTTTCCTGCCTTCAACTTAAAAAATAAATGGGACTGTAGGGTAGAATGGTTTCTTCAAAAGTCTTGATTTACTCCCCACAATCCCAGGGCTGGGACATTTAATACATCCACTCAGTTATGATGTTTTGATCACTTCTTTACATTTAAAAAAGTCTCTGTTTAACCATTTCAAGGCCTATATTTATTTATGTACCATCACTTTACTTATCCATAACCCAACTAGCTATCAAAATATGCAAACATGAACCTAGATGACATTTTCTTTCCTGAACTCACCTTCTTTGGTGAAATCTAATAATCTTTCCAGATATTCCAGAAAATACAGTGATGTGGCTGAAAGTCTCAGTTGCCGTTATCTTGAAAAGTCCCTGTTTATGATGACCTTGTCTATGGTGTCAAATGATGAAAATCATGCAAAAGCCAAGAGAATTAAAGACCTATTTAAAACCCAAGTCCTTGCATGGCTCTAAATTAATGCCTTTATGGGATTTGATTTTAAAAACCCATACAAAAGTAGTAGAGGTCCACTTACTACTTCACCCCAACTAACATTCACCATCTTTTGGTGCCCAGACTATGTCTTTTGCTTTGATGCACCTTCTCAGAGTTTCTGGTACAGAGTTAGGCTCTTCTGGGTTTACTTAATAATTTACTTTTTTGAATTGCTCTTGTTATTCCGTAAGTATTTTTGCCAAGATATGTCTCGAGTTCCAGCTGAGCGCGGTGGCTCAAGCTTGTAATCCTGTCTCTTATACACATCTAGATGTGTATAAGAGACAGACTCCAGCCTGGGCGACAGAGCAAGACTCCGTCTCAAAAAAAAAAAAAAAAAAAAGATATGTCTCGAGTTCCACTGATACCAACAATAAATGATCAAAGCCCAGATGAAAGTTTTATGGTTCACTTAATGTGCTGATAACTTCTAAACTATTAGTATCTACTCAGTTTGTTTCATCAACTATAAATATAAAGCTCAAGATGGCAGTAGGACTCTGAGTATGAATCTAAGGCAGGGGTCCCCAACCCCCAGGCCATGGACCAGTACCAATGGGTGGTCTGTTAGGAATTGGGCTGCACAACAGATGAGTGGCAGGTGAGGTAGTGAAGCTTCATCTGTATGTACAGCCACTCCTCATTGCTTGAATTACCACCTGAGCTCTGCCTCCTGTCAGATCAGCAGTGATGCTGGATTCTCATAGGAGCACAAACCCTCTTGTGAACTGCACATGTGAGGGATCTAGGTTGCAAACTCTTTATGAGAATCTAATGCCTAATGATCTGTCACTGTCTCCCATCACCCCCGGATGGGACCATCTAGTTGCAAGAAAACAAATTCAGAGCTTCTACTGATTCTACCTTATGGTGAGTTATAGAATTATTTCATTATATATTGCAATGTAATAATAATAGAAATAAAGTGCACAATACATGTAATGCGCTTGAAGCATCCCCAAACCATTCCCAGCCAATCCTGTCTGAGGAAAAATCGTCTTCCATGAAACTGGTCCCTGATGCCAAAAAGGTTGGGGACTGCTGATCGAAGGGCATGTTTTTGCATCAATAACATTGATTATAGTGATATATTACCTGAAAAAAATTACCAGAAAGAAACTGTGCTTTAGTGTGACTTATTGCAGGCATTTGCTCCTACCAGACTTCATTGTTTATACTTCTTGGGCCAATGAAAAGATCAAACAATTAACTGTTATCAGCTTAAAAATTTAGTGGTTTATTTCATCATGAACTTTTACACATAAACAAGCAAAAAAGTTGTCTCTAGTTTTAATAAGATGTTTTGTTTTATTTCTGTCTTTCAATGTTTATTTTAATCAAATGCTATATATAGTCAAATGTTAATCTTTATTATATTGATAAGTTTTCCATGGATAGTGCCAGTTAAAAAGCACTGTTACTCTGAAGTATGGCTTTGATGACAGCCAATGAGGTATTGATTATCTTCCTTGGTCCACTACGGGTGAGCTTGCTAATCCATGAGGCTTAAGACCTTCTCAGTAGGATACCACTATAAACATAAGCCTAAGGGTGAGATGGAGCCTTTCATATCAAACTCTTGTACTCCTGATCGTGGAGCCATCAGGGCAACCATCATCTTAAGAGAAAGTCCAGAGTACCATCAGTAGGTCAAAGCAGCACAGGAAGCCTTAGCCCTTGAAACAGAAGCTATTCTGGGATGACTGGTACCAGCCCAGGATTAAATGTCCAGAGTAGTCTGGAGTTGATTCCGGTCTCTAAGAACTCTGAAAAAGTTCTAAGATGGAACAGGGAAACCTGGAGCAGAAAGAAGCTGTGGTCTTTTGCATCATCCCTTCCTTGTCCTCCTCTTCTGTCCTGGAGATTGGCCACTATAGGAGATACTGCCCATACTACTGGTCAACCAGTAGTCAAATGGGTGTGATGGTGGAGAACACAGAAAGGAAGAGTAGTAAAAGCGCAGGAAGAACAGAGCCAGAAAAAAGCCAGGCAAAAAATCAGCTTCTCATTCTTGACCACACTTTAGTGGAAATAGGATTGGCACAGCACTAGGCAGTCACATCTTCCTTCTTTATCAAATCCTCAGGCTAATGCTAGGTCCAAGTGAGGATAACACTGGCTTGGAGCTTGAGTGAGTCAGGGTATCTTGGAGCCTTTTTCTACCTGTAGAAACTGTTATGTTCCCTAAGCCTTCAAGTATACTGTATAAATCCTTATTAGGTAACATGTATGTGGTATGACTATCAAATTAGATATTTGGATTCATAAACTTTCCAGTTACCATTATTGAGCATTTACAACATAGTAAACCAAGTGTTTTCTGCAAAGGGCCAGAGAGTTTTAGGCTTTGTCGCAACTACTCAATTCCACTATTATTGGATAAAAGCATCTATAGACAATATGGAAATGAATGGGTGTGACTGTGGTCCAATATAACCTTATGAAAAAGGCTTGGATTTGGCCTATTGGACATAATTTACTGACCCCCATGCTCAATCTGCAGTAGACTTGTATGTAATTTCAAATATTCTTTCTAACAATCACTTGCAGTTGGTAGTATTATTTTAATTTTGCAGACAAAGAAACTGAAGCTCAGAGGGCTTTACAAATGTGTCCAAAGTCACAACAGCTAATAAGTAGTAAAGCCAAGATTGAAACTTTCAGAATCTCTTTTCTGCTGTAATCTAAAGGGGACCTTCTACCATTGTGTGGATATAAGTGACACGTGCCGCCTTTAAGTGCTGATTTTTTAATATCAATTTTTTTCATAGAAATCTTTCTAAGGTTTTGATGGCTCAGGCTATGCTTATACACAGCAACAATTACAGAACTGCACATCGCAGAATGATGCCACTGGCGCCAGGAGTGCTGCTTGCCAGTGAATTGACGGTTTCAGCTGACTCTTTTCTATGTTGGCTGCACCTGTTCTTCTGACTCACTTCATCACTTCTTTCTGGTGTTCTGTTTTAGCTTCCAACTCATCTGCAATGTGCTCTCTGTGTATTATAGGAAGAACTGAGGTTGCCAAGTTAAACCAGATAATGTTACAAACAACTGATATCAGTAGGTTCTGGCCTATGTGTAGCTTTCATGCCTCTTTCCTATATTGGATTGAAAGATAGAAAATAGACATTTTTATAGGTCAAAAGTGGCAGTTTCATACGGCTCAGTCTAATATTAAAGGGCACTGACCCTGACATATGCATTTTTCTAGGGCTCATGAGGTTTTTCTTCTGTTGATCTCACAGTTCATGGTGGTGCTATAGATGATTAAAGCAGCAGTAGATTGCTGCCAGAAAAGTGGGCTAAGATCTAATAACTCCTCAAATCCACTGTGTTCTATAACAACAGGCAGGGTCAGAGGGCCAGAAGTCAGTCAGACTGCCTCGGCACTAGACATCCGCACACTGAAATAGTTTTCAAAGTTTGTTTTTTTCAGGAGCTTTTGCACAATTTTCTCCTCAATCCTCTTTATAAGAATGACATAAAGCAGTCAGATTGACTAAACAGACTCACAACATGGTGACTGAATTACTCAAGGGCATGACATAGACATGAGAAAGAAACTTGGAAACTTGGGAATAAAAACCTCCGAAAACTCCTAAAATATCAGAAACTTTACTTAAAGAGCAGGGATTCATCACAAAAACACTATGAAATGCATAATATCTTCCTCTCAGTTCAAAGTGGGGATTCTTTTTTTTTTTTCTTTTTTTTTTTCTTTGAGACAGAGTCTTGCTCTGCCGCCCAGGCTGGAGTGCAGTGGCACAATCTCGGCTCACTGCAACCTCCACCTCCCAGGTTCACGCCATTCTCCTGCCTCAGCCTCCCGAGTAGCTGGGACTACAGGTGCCCGCCACCACGCCTGCCTAATTTTTTTTATTTTTAGTAGAGACGGGGTTTCACTGTGTTAGCCAGGATGGTCTCGATCTCCTGACCTCGTGATCACACGCCTCAGCCTCCCAAAGTGCTGGGATTACAGGCGTGAGCCACCACACCCGGCCAAAGTTGGGATTCTTTTCAAAGGGCTCTATGTGAGTATGCATGTAGATCTATATTTCTACTTCTATAGGGCTGATCTATTTTCACTTATGCTAAAAACAAAATAAATCAATGGCATAAATAAAGAAAATTAAGAGACAACAAAGATGTGTTGTTTCTAGATTCAAATTTCCAGGGGTAAACAATAGGGGCTTTATATGATTTCTGAAGATAAAGAATCAATACAGATAAAACTTTAAAATAAACCCATAGAAATAGCAGAAATTAATGAAAAGACACGATAAACTTCTGATATAATTTCTTCTCCAAGGAAGAGAGAAAAACTTTCAGTTATCCACAACATTTAGGCATTTTCTTGGAAACCAGTAGAAAGTACATGTTAAGAAAGTTAAAGGAAAAGAACATACTTACCTTGTTCTCCACCTGGACACTGTCACCTTCTCCAAGCACTGCTGTGTGATGAGGTTCTATTTTTTGTTGTGCATCATCGGGCCCTACAAAAGCAATGACCCACTAATTTAATACCCATTATAGTACATTTGTTATATGGTTACTTATTTGGTTAACTATATAACACCACAATATTTATTTTAATTTGAGAAATAACAGACTTAGTAATTTCCTTAAATCTCTTGGTTAATTATATTTGCTATTATTAAAGCCTGAAACTAGTTTGTTTTCAATTTTGAAAAAGGACAAGGAGATGAATCCTGGGTTGTGTTTCCATTTACACTTTAATGGATAAGCAAAGTCCTTGGCATTATGTGCTCATGTTTACTTAGGTAAATTATAAACTTTGTAAGAATTAAGAATAGTTAGAAAAAGTATCAAATGCCATAATTCATTCATTTCCACAAGTATTAATTGAGTACCTACAATGGTCTAGTACTATGGGACAATACAGAGACATGCAAAGTAGATTCCTTTCATAGAAATAATTCAAAATCCCATTGGAGCAAACTACATCTATACACACAAAATAATCAGAGAATAATTCAACTGAAAAATAAGTAAGTTGGATAGCTATTGAGTAACAGCTATTGAACTCTGAATAAGACCCTGTTCTAAATGTTGTGGGAATATTCAGGATAGATAAATTTCCATCCCTTTTATACTGAGGTTTACAAATAAAATAATACAAATGAAAGCGTCTCTTAAAGGCAACGATAAATTTGTAAGCAAAGTTCAATAAGAGAATAGGGGTGATGGGGGCTTGTGGCAGGTCTAGGGACCACAGATATTTATCGTGCAGGAGGTAAGACTTGAACAGAGCTCTGTAGGATTAAACCACAAGAGGCAAATCTGGGGAAAAGGGCATTCTAGCCAAGAGAAAATATTGTGGTGAAAATTCTACCATTCCTGGAACAGTCTTTTGGGAAGAACGATGGAAATATAAGCTGTCTCCAGATCAGGGAAAGCCTTTAAACCCATGTTTATCCATATAAAATTGACAGCCCTTGAGGGGTGTGTGTGTGTGTGTGTGAAATTACCAGATCTGTGTCTTGGAGAAATAACTCTGATGGCAGAATGTGGAGTGAATTGGAGGGGACAAGACTGAAGTTAGGATGACCTGTTAGGAGTTTGCTGTAACTAAGTGAAGATGAATTACAGTCTGAATTGAGAAAGTGGCAACAGAAAGATAGGGATGAATTTGACAGGTGGAGTTGAAAAAGAAATCTAAAGGATTTGGCCACAGTGGTAGAGAGAAAAGTCTAACATGATTCTCACTAGGAGCAGAAGAATGTAGTGACTTGAAGATTGCAAGAGTAGTTCTGCAAGAGGAGGCTGCAGATTGGAGAGGCCAAAGTGAACCACAGAAGGCTGTAGAGAGGGGGTGAGATTTGGACTAGGTCTTTCAGTTGGGAAAAACCCCGATATGTTAATGGGCAAGAGAAAGAATATTTCAAATTGAGTGAGTAGCCCATAAAATGTCTTGGGAGATATCCCTGCATGCCCTTTTGGGATGTAAATAAGGGCATTCATGTGACAAGTTGGAGCTGAATAATCAATAAAGAAATGCTTATTTAAATGAAAACAATAGCTTAGCAATTATTATGCAAACAGAAACATAATTTGTGAATTTTGGACATATTGGTTGGAGTCCAAACAACTATATTTTCTACAGAAGTCCTTCCCATCTCCACTTTGGAAATAATCAATATGAGGCAGCAGAGTTCATTCTGATGCTTGCAAACATGAAATAGGATTCTAACAGAGCAGGAGTTCTTAACGTGGAGTCAATGTCCTCCCAAGGGGTCCATGGATACAATTCAGGGCATGGGTGGACTTGGATAGGAGACAAATTACATGTTTCCTTTCACTAACACCTAAATTGAAACGTATCTTTTCCTTCAATCGTGAATGTAGCCAACAAGCCACAGTAGTATAAGCTGGGCTGATGACTGTGTCTGCAGCAGAAATCATAGATATTTTCATATCACTTTATGGTTTTATAGATATCTCAAAATACAGTTTATGTTAATTATTACTTTAAAATTTAGAGCAGGCCTGCTACTAGATCATGTCATGTCAAATGTCATTAAAGAAGCACACATATAGCTATATCCTAAACCTGTTCTTTTAACATTTTCATAACTGCACTGACTTTAAAAACATTATTTAAGGAGGCAGGGGGCTTGGCAGATGTCAAAAAGGTCCATGGCAGTAAAAAGATTAACAACTTCTGTCCCAGAGGAAGTAGTGTGCTGGATAATGTTTATCAGTTGGCTTTCAGGAGTAACGGGGAGAACTAACCTGATTTGTAAGTGTGTGCCAATATCTGTGGTGTAAATACTCCCACTGTGGCCAATTTCAACCTACTAATGTGAGGCCAGGGAAGGCACACAATCAGCTCCTGCAAGCTAGCAAGAGCCAGGCCCAGCATAATACTAAAGGTTTCTCCTCCATCAAAGATTTAGGTCAACAAATGTCATGGAAACAAATGATAGAACTCCACTGATTTTCCACTTACTCAGGGATTTGGCAATAAAAGAGAGGTCTGGGAGTTAAAAAAAAAAAAATCTCATTTAGAGTTGAGTAACATTTTTAACTGTGATACAGAGGAGCATTTTATTAAGTGTGCTTTACTGAGATCCCCTGGGAGCAATGAACCATGTCTTTATCTTCAACTAATTCATATTTAACACCCGTTACCCACGTGGTCCACTCCTGGCCCCTAATTTTGTCATGTAGGATGTTTCGTGATACATATACCACAACAGTTTATAAACCCCTTCGCTATGTTTTAATGGAGTGAGCTGGCAAAAGAGTGCTCAAAAATAATGCTGGATTGGTATTTCTCTGCACCCCGTATCAGGGGAGCTTGCTTGACTATGGTGTTCATTGGTCTGTGAGGAAACCTTAATTCAGCAACAGAGGTCAGCTTGTCTAAAGGGCTCTAACTCTAATTGTACGTGGGATGCAACTTCTGCCCATTCTCTTTGCAATCTCAGTGTTGGTACCAAAGAGGTCATTTGAAATGCTCCACTCTAAGGTAAATATTTATTTTTGAGACGGAGTCTCGCTCTGTCGCCCAGACTGGAGTGCAGTGGTGCAATCTCAGCTCACTGCAACCTCTGCCTCCCGCGATTATCCTGCCTCAGCCTCCTGAGTAGCTGGGACTACAGGCGCATGCCACCACGCCTGGCTAATTTTTTGTATTTTTAGTAGAGATGGGGTTTCACTGTGTTAGCCAGGATGGTCTCAATCTCCTG